TGATTTGAGGTTTTCACTGTGGTCAATATGAAGATTTCTGTCTTCTGGGCTGTTGCGCCGCGTAGTATGGTAGATGTATACCAACGTTACAGAGGTCATACTGTCTCTGTCAAGAAGGCGATTCGCCCTGATGATGAAGGCATCAAGGACCTCTGAAACTTCGTTAAAATTCTATCAGACTACACGTCGCAACAACTCAGAAGACAGCCATCTTCAGACTTTCCGCCGTGAAGACCTCAAGTCCTTTAAATTCTAAGACTGCCTTATCTTAAGACATCCGGACTGCATAATTATTGCTAACTGAACTAATTCACAGATTTTATGAGGTATGTAAGAAAGAAAAAAAGATAATTTAATCAGTTGGTAATTAAATATAAGTCTGAGATCTTCTTTGAACACCCTTCACGATTTCGTATATTCAAACATCGTTGGCACAACTGATTTCGTTGGGTATCAGTTCACGTGTAGGTTTCCAACAACAGGCTAAAGAAGATACTATAGTGACTGAAACGAAGTCAAATTCAGGGCACTTATTGTTGCAACTAACAAATGTAAGTCGAGAGCTCCTGAAATCGTACACGTAAAGTATCACAATCTCTAGATAACGAAGTCAATGGAAACGGAAATTACTAAGAAATTTCGAAAAAAAGAAACCGGGTTACAGCAAAAATGAGGACACTACTGAAAAGTAAATTGAAGCATTTAATTGAGAAGGAGACAGCAGTGATAGAGCCGGTTATACAGAAGTACGCCCGCGTATATTTTGAAGAGGGACACCGTGAGTTTGATAGCACTAAAGTGGTAACTCATACCATAGATACAGGAAATGCAGAGCCGATAGGGAAACCTCCATACAGGGTAGCGTACGTTTTAAGAGATGTCATGAAAGAACAAATACAAGATTTGTTGAAAAAAGGCATTATTCGTGAAGGTGATAGTCCGTGGTCAAGAACCGCCATATTTGTCCGAAAAAGGAGTATGGATGGCACACGGAAATGGAGAATGCGTAATAGATTTTAGGGGCTTAAATGCACTACGTTTCAGGCATATCCATTGCCGCATGTAGAAGACACTGTGGCGTCTTTGGATGGAAGCCGTTATTTCACGTTGCTGGATTGTTTCAGTGGATTTTTGCAAGTGGAGATAGCGGAGAAAGACCAAAAAAGACTGCATTTGCGTAAGCTTTGGGCATTACGAATATAATCGGTTATATTTTGTGTTATGCAAATCACCTCCGACATTTCAGTCTCTGATTTATAAAGTATTGGGAGATTTAGTAGGCACGGAGGTCTACTGTTGCATAGATGACTTGATAATTTTCAGTTCTACTCCTGAAAAGCATACAAAAATGCTAGAACATGTGTTAGAGAGGCTGGAGAGAGCTAATCTAAAGCTACAGCCAAATCAATGTTTTATAGCACAGCCACAAGTCGAATATTTGGGTTAAATTGTAAGTAGAGAGGGAATAAAAGCCAACTCAGTTCCAAAAACGGTATGTGAAGTTAGATCTTTTCTTGGATTGACAGGATTTTATCATCAAATTATACCAAATTATGCAGAACGAGCAAAACCATTAACCCAACTGATTAGAAAGAATGAAAATTTTGTCTGGACCCAAGATCAACAAGATGCTTTTTAGCATTTAAAAATGGCGTTAACAACAACCCCAATTTTGGCATACCCTGAATTTTCGCAGACATTCTATGTTACAACCAGTAGTGGTAGCATGTGTACTGTCTCGGTATCAAGAGGGCGAAGAAAGACCCATAGCCTGTGCTTCTAGACAATTAAACAAACACGAAGAGAGATATAGTTCTAGTGAATTGGAACTCTTAGCTCTAGTATGGGCCACAGAGCCCTTGTGAAGCTATTTCAACGGTCGTCAGTTCGTAGCCCGAATTGACCATCGAGCCATGTGTCGCAAGTTGACTCGCCTTTTTGATTTGAAAGACGAAGTAAAGTGTCTCCTCTCAAAATTGAAACCCGGTTTGGTTACTTATTTTGAAGGTGAAGGCTGTTTTTGTCAATTAGCTTATTTGGCAGATATTTTCAACAAATTTAATGACCTCAATTTTCAGCTCCAAGGCTTTGACAAGAATATTTTTAAAGCGCGTGAGAAGGTGAAAGGATTTCATAAGAAGATTCTGTTTTGTATTAATTGTGTTAATAATGGGAATGTTGTAGTTTTCCCAACAAAATGAAGTTAGCGTTATTGATCGCGTTTTCGAAATAATCAAATTCGACTTGGAAAATCTCAGGATACAATTTTTGAAATACTTCCAGAAATTGAGAGAGAAGACAATATCGAAGATTGTTTACACCACTGCAATCAATTCCTCTGATCTTCCCTTAAAATTAAAAGAAAGCCTGCTGGAAATGTCCGTTGTTGGTTCACTGAAAATAAAATTCGAAAATATATCAGTCTGGGACTTTTGACTTGCTGCCCACAAAGAGTTCAAGGAGCTTAGTGACGCTGCCATTCCCATCAACGTATTTGTGTGAGCAAAGCTTTCCCGCACTGACGTCAATCAAAACGAAACGCAGGAACCGCTTGAACCCAGAACCATCTCTGATCTTCACTTTCTCGAATATTCGTCCCCTAATTGAGGTGCTGGTGTGCCAGAAACAAGTTCAATCATCTCATTAATAGGCCTGAACCACATTAATTAATAATTGTTAAAATATTTAAACATATAATTTTGCTTTGCTAAAATACCTCTGTTCCTTTATTAATTTCTATATGATAGGTAATAACATATTTTACAGATTCTCCTATTTCTTATTTCAAACTTATTATTAATGCATTTTTGTATGTAATTTATTTAATTTATTTTAAATGTAGATTATATACTATGTATAACTTGAATCATACACCAACAACTTTGGGGGTACAAAGTTGAAGAGAAATTATAACTGGGGGTATGCGAACAAAGGTTGAATACCACTGCTCTAGAGAATAAGGACAGGGCTAGCGAGGTCACATTTTCAGTACACGACCATTTAGAACATCAAATGAAAGGACTTAGAGATGCGTATGAGATCGCTCAGAAAAAGTCCATGCAATCCCATGCAAAAAAACAACAAAATTTATGACCAAAAGGCCAAAATCAGAGTTTTCGAGGAAGGCAATCTGGTTTACCTATTTTCGCCCGCTAGAAAACAAGGTGTCTCCTAGAAGTTCACAAAACGTTGGTTACCAGCCCATGAAGTTATTGGAAAAATATCTGATCTCACTTACAAGGTCAGGAGCCCTGAAGGAAGAGAATTTTTTGTAAATGTAAACAGAATGAAGTTGTGTAGCAACTCTAAAGTTTGGAATCCAAAACTGGCAATAACATCACAAATAGCACAGCAACAAATCACACCTCCACGCCCCATCGGCACCGGAGTAAGGTGGAGACCAATAGCCATAGATCCCATAGATCTTATTTGTCCACAGCCTCCACCACAGCAGAACCCTCGCCCTGAGGACGTTACCCCGCGCAGCGACAATACACCGTTGTCAGTTGGAGAGGACGTAGCAGGCGATCCGAGCTGGACCCCACCAAGAAGCAGACAAGCCGCTCGACCGACAGGGCCGCCGATGCTAACAAGGCAGCGTGCCCGAGAGCTGGAGCAGTGACTTCAGCATGAAGTAATCAGGGAAGAAGACGAAGGAGAATTGACAATAAATGCACCTGGAGACGCTAATTTATCGGAGAATAATCCTCCCACCAATTCGCGACCAACCCCTAACGTTCAACCTCCCCGCGTAGTTCCACGTCTCTTAAAAGTGATCAAAAATAATTTGTGTGTTCTTTCACTTTAGCCACACGAAAGATGTCTTTACTTAATACAAGTCTGGGGAAAGCGAGTGTAATTAAAGGATTGCAGAGAGACGCATGACTGAAGTAATGGCAAAAGCTGTACACAAACGCATCTTTCGTCTTGGGATCTCGAGAAGTTCTCACGCGCTCCACTTTTTTTGACTCAGTGAACCTCCTGAGTCCGACGAGAAACGAGCACCTTCTTGACCTTCTTGCTGGCTATAATAAATTATACTCCTCTTGTGCATGATTTATTTTTGGTGTTGTATCCACAAGTAAATATACTACACATATTCCCATAGGTACCAATACATTGCATGAATGCAGAAAGAGATAGAATATATATATATATATAAATAATGTTGTTTAAAATTACTTAAAATTATAACATTCTCAGTAGATACTGCATCTTGTTACATTTTTTGTATTCGACGACATGTTTCAATGTGTATTACATCATCAGGTCTGTCAATTTTAATATATTTTAAAAACTGTTGCACATTTTGCGTTGCGTTTATTGATTATTTTAATTGGTTTAATTTTAAGTTTTTTCTCATCGACCCAACCCCCTGAACAACTTTCACTCAATATATATAGCCACACGCGACACACACATCTCAGTTGCAGTTTACCGTCTCTTAACATCGGACACACAACACATCAATTACAACCCGGTATGTTTTACTACCTTTTACTACATTTTATTATGATTCATTTACATTTTATTACGATATATTACGTATTAACTCTTAAATTATTATATTTCCTATGTCAATATCCAAAATCACGACTTGAAAATTAATTTTACAGATATAAAACATCCAAGTACAACATCCAAATCAAAAAGAAGAGACAAAACTTAAAATTAAACCAATTAAAATAATCAATAAACGCAACGCAAAATGTACAACAGTTTTTAAAATATATTAAAATTGATAGACCTGATGATGATGATGTAATACACATTGAAACATGTCGTCGAATACAAAAAATGTAACAAGATGCAGTATCTACTGAGAATGTTATAATTTTAAGTAATTTTAAACAACATTATTTTAAGTTTGTGTATAGACGGAAAATAAAAATATTGTAAGAATATATTATGTAAGACTTGAGGTTCTCACAGCGGTGAGTATGAAGATATCCGTCTTCTGGGTTGTTGCGCTGTGTAGTCTGGTCGATGTTAACCAAATGTAAAATTTTACTGTGAGATAATTGTGACTCAGGGATAGTGGAACAGTAAGACCAATGCTTAAACTTTGTCACTTGAACTCCACCGATTCTTTATTAAATCAGCTGCCTTTTCGGCAATCATGTAGACAGGGGTAGTCAAGTGACCAGACGGAATTAGTGGAATGATGGAAGCATCCACAACACGGAGATTATTAATACCTCGCACTTTTAAATGTGTATCCACAACAGCATCTTGGTCAGAATCATTGCCCATTTTACAGGTTCCGCATTGGTGGTAGAAGGTAAAAGTCGTGTAGCGAATTGAACAATTCCAGTATTTATCGGAAGCGAATTCATACTCCTCGCACGGTGGAAGAGGAACTGGGTAGAGTTCTGCGGCGTACTTCTGAAAGGCTGAGGTGTTAACCAGTTGAAGCGAACTATGGATTCCACTTATAATAATATCCGCATCATATGGATCAGTCAGATAGTTGTGGTACAGCAGCGGCTTGTCCGTAGGGTCAGCACTTCTGAGAGCAACACGACCCCGACTTCTTGGGTGCATGATCATGGGAAATATCATGAAAGAATCCTTATGAGCTAACGGCTCGTAGGCAGCATATATGTCAGAATTGCCACCCCAGGCATCCCAAACAGGTTTCAGTGACGGAAGAGTGCTGGACGCAAAGAGTATTTCTATATCTGGAACACCGTCGGTGCTGTTACTGCTACTAGTATTTAGTTCCTGAAAAACAAGTGCTTCGGTGCCACCTGCTACAGCAAAGGGCCCGGTGCGACTTAGTAAGTACTCTGCAGCGTTAAACAAATTTTCAAGAACGTTGTCAAAACGAATACCAATCGACGAGTTTACAGTGAAATAAAGGGTTCCAAAACTGATATGATCCTGCAGGTTGAAACCCACTTTTGCATCCTGTAATACATTGATTCCCAAGCTCTGGAGCTCTTCGCGGGGCCCAATTCCTGATAACATTAACAGCTGAGGAGAGTTTATGGCACCCGCAGAAAGAATCACTTCCTTTCTAGCAAAAGCTTTTAGTGTAAGGCCATTGAACAATTTATACTGTACGCCGGAAGCTGTGCGACTATTTGAGTCAATAAGGATTTTGGTAACGAGGCTTTTCTTCAGGACGTGCAAGTTTGGCCTCGTCCTCGCAAACTTTAAAAACGCACGATTCCCACTGAATCTCAACCCATCCTTCATGGTGCACTGGTGAAATGAATATCCTATTTGATTTCCTGCATTATAGTCAGTTTTATTGAATCCTAGTTCTTTGGCGGCCTCGGTAAAGCTCCTCGCAGCCTCGGTGCGATATGGAGGGTAAGTAATGGCCAGCTGTCCAGACGCGTTATGGTATACCGTGTCTTCAGCCAAACGCGGAATAAGCATGCCCTCAAACCGGAGGAAATACGGTAAGACATCGTCGTATCCCCAGCCTTCACATCCTTCCTCCTCCCAGCCGTCATAATCCTTGCGATTGCCTCTCGTGCTCACCATGTAATTGAGAACACTGCTGCCACCTAAGACTTTGCCACGTGGCCACTTGCACTGGCCGCCAACCAGGCCGAGGCAGGCTGTTGATGACGGCTCTGTCTCATAACCCCAGTTTATCGACGTCAACTGTGAGAATGCTGCAAACAGAGGAATGTCCTGCAGAACGTTCTCTTCTCCGCCAGCTTCGATCAGTAACACTGACCACTCGGAAACCTCCGACAGCCGTGAAGCCAGCAAGGATCCAGCCGCACCGCCGCCCACAATGACGAAGTCGTATTCGACAAACTGAGCCGCGCATCCGCTCAGGATGAACGCAATCAGCATAAACACATACGCAGACTTCCTCGGCCAAAGGGAAATCTGAAAATACTGTCAAACATTTTTATTGCTTAACAAATATGCACATATTGCATGCCTTCCAATGCCTGGGAAGATGTTCATATCCACATTTCACATAGAGAGCTAAGTGCATCAGTCGGAGAAGTTAACTGAAACAGTGTTTTGCTTCAACGTCTGTCAATGAAATTTTAATGAAGTTCTCATCCTGTCGTATCTCCGTCCGCATTAATCCCTAAAAAACTATACTTTGGTGTCGAAAATTATTTGAATAATGTAAAATAGCATCATGGCGGCTGCTTTAGAAAAAAATTGTAACAATCCTTCACACGCCAGGACAGACCTATTACACGGTAGATCGGCAAATCAGAAGGTAACACACCACCGAAAACAATCGGCATATATAAGATCCAGATCACAGCAGGAGAACAATAAGAATGCAGTGTTTGCGTCTCAATCAGTGATATAAGGATACTCAATGCTAGGGTTCTGACCAGCCCCTCAACTGCAGCAACACAGTGAATAAGGCTACATGAAATTGTGTCTTTTGCTTCTTCTGCTTCTCCGGCCTGTTCTGTCTTCAACCAACCATCCAACCAACCTAAAAGCTAACTCAGGTCGGAGTCCTGCGCAAGCGCAAGACATCGTCCCTTCCTAGTAACATCATTCCTGCGTACGAAATGAATTGCTGGAAATGGTAAACAGAGCCTTAACATGGACACGGGAATTTTACTAAAGCTAACGGGGTTCTGTCGTGACGGGAGCCTCGACAGTTCAAACTAGGTTCTGTCGCTGCTGATGGGAGGGATGGACTGACCACTCGTTGCGCCAAATTGGCAGTATTTTGAGGACTGCTTCGGCTGGCCTGCTGACCATCAGTCCACCTCTGTTGCCCTTGGGTGACCTCTGAGAGCCCTTATTCGGCACGAGTGCCTCCCGAGTTGCCGGACTAAGGGGTTCTCCACACCAGTTAACCTAGAGTCAAATCTCTCAGTCAGTGCTCTGATGTGGTCGGCAAAGAGCGGGGTCCCCAAATCATCGTGGATTTGCCCGTTACTTACGTACCAAGGCAAGATAGTAGCAATGCGAAAACACTTGGATTGCAACACTTGCAGCTTCCTGACGTGGCTGCTGGCTCTGTCTCCAAAACTATTCGATGTAACGGAGAAGCCTGAACAGAATTACAAATGCTGATGGAAAGTCATGCAGCTTATGTCTAAATAAAGAGCCCAAGCTACTACGACAAAATGGAGCCGAAACAGTGGGCACTGTGGCCCGATCCACGAGCACACGGTAGTTTCATGTGGAAATGAAATGTTGACTCCATGTGCTTTGATACGTTGCTTTTACAAGTGTTTTGGTTCACTATTTTAATAGAACTGCGCAGGTAATACACCCGAAAGCATACTTTTCAGTCAACAATTCTCTTCTGGCGCACGTAATAAGCGACAAGTCATAATATTCTTTTAACGTAAGTAATTGAGTCCTACAGTAGATATATATACCGAGTTTGTTTGAAAGTTTTTTATATGATGAAAATTATAGAAGCCTGGCATGGCCATATTCCCTTCAAGAACAATGTAATGTTTTATAATTTTATAGCCCACAAAATTACCTCACTAGGTAATTTTCTCAACAGCATTCCGAGATCTCTTCGTGTACCACACAATCAAAAGTACTGTGACGTACATACGCCCTTTATTTGTCAACTCTGTGTAACCGCTCATCTGGAATTAGTTTGGTTTTATTAATTGATTCTGTGTGTTTCCAGTATGTCAAAACATTTCTTTAAGATTTTAGCACCACTTGCCGAGAACAAGGATAGACTTTAGCCCTAAGAGCTAGAAGTCGTGTTTATGCCATCTGGGCAGAAAGGAATGTTTGGGGATTTGGTTAATATCCGATCTCGACTCAGCCTACGACAGACAGAGAAGTGCTTTTAGGAGCAAGTGTGGAGGATCGTGTTGTGCGGTCCGTGAGAGGTCTCTCTCTATCAAGATAGCGGGGCGGAGGGGGGTGCTTCGCACCAAGCCCAGGACCCTGGCGCCGAGGAGAATTAGGTAGGGACAGTCTTGTTTTAACTCGCGATAGCGAAGGTGCTAGAGACACATAGGAAGCTGTAAATTGTATACTAATAAATAATAGTGACTTTAAACTTCAATCTGAATTATTATTGGCTGGTGTGATCGGGCCGTTAACACGACCTGAGTTAAGAGCTACCTACCGACTGGCTAGGCCCTAAAAATCCTACACCCTGAGATATCCACATAGCCCTCGGGAGGAGAAGCAGTCAAACACCAACCCTGATACGGCAGCTGTCACGAGGCCACGAGTAGTGGACCTTTTACACCTGGGTTATGCTTCGCTTACACGGCGGGGGTTTACACAATACCGTTAGGAGTTATGGTCAGGTACATGCTTGTAAACGGTTTGGAGGGCAGGTATTTTCCTTAGTCTAAAGTCTAAGAAAATAAAAGGTTGGGAGCTACATGAGGTCAGCTGTCGACATGTAAACCATACAGCGATTGAACCCATGACCATACTAAACTCTGAATAGTGGTGCTCCACGAAGTTCAACACAGCTGAACTTTTATTTACTCTCGCGAGAGCAGAAATGGAGGACGTAAGGAGAAAGAAGAAGATGAGGACTGCCAAAGTGTGGAGTGTTCTTGAAAAATCATACAGGTTCAAGGGTTTAAAAAATAAAGTGCATCAGGGAATGGCAGCCAGGTTTCAAACGACAGTAAATGAGGTACAAAGGAAACTGTACAACCTCCGGTAAGTGTGACAAATTCCTGCGGAAGCCAATATTCATGTACTTTCACTTTTATTAATGTAATAATGGAATGTGCAATGTAATCATGGAGTTTGCATGCGTTGCTATAGGTGTCAGTACACCAGGGAGTTGCGGAAAGTACGGACCAGAAAGTCGGGTTAAGGTACCGCAGACACATTCAGATCGCAATGGCCGTACATCGAAAATATGAAGTTTCTTGAGGGAAATATGTTAATATTTCTTCTATCTGTTGACGACATTCTAAGTAAATTTCGTAACTGGATGAAATCTTCCACCCACAACTCCCTGAGAAGGCAGGGCTTTACTCAAATTGTTCTCTGTCTTCTCCTCTTCAAGAGAATTAAAATTACCGCAGCTGCCGTAACACGTTGTTGTTCATCTGCCATTCCAAACACACTGACCTATGGCGGCTCCAGTTCATTGTCAATTCCATGTAGAGTTCTGTTATGTCTCATTATAGCCACTCTCACTGCCTCATTGTGTAAACGGTACTGAGAGAAGCGCGACATGTAGAGATATGTTTCGCTCTGTTGGAAGAACCTCTCAGGCCGACAGTAGTAACATTCTCTCAACGTCTAAACACCCTCCGATACCTCTCTCCATATACCTGACTTAAGACCGACTGCCGCTCTGAACTCTCGCCATATAAACGTAGCATTATGTTACGTTTAAACAGCGAGAGATGAATGCGAATGATTTCTTTACAAAAAATTTCCGGCACACCTGAAACCTTCAGGCGACACACAGGTTGCGGAACGCTGGTCTAGACCTAACTACCAGTTTTATGCTGAAAGGAGAAAACAAGGCTGAAGTGTTTTGGTAACTTAAATTATCACAAACGAAACTAAATTACATTCCCAAATCAGATACATTATTTGAAAGGCATGCATTCAGATAGGCCAGTAACTAAAAAAATTGTTCTTATTTCAGATGCTAGTTTCAGAAATTAAAGTGAGAACACTGCTGGAACTTGGAAAAACTAACCTTTGATGAGATGTGGAAGAGCATCCTTGGCGCTCTTCAGTGCGCAAATATTGAATTCGCGGTCCTTAATGGAGGATTTATTTATGTAGTTAGCTGAAATGAACCAATACTATCTGTACTGTCATAAGATATATGGAGTGAATTCATCAAGCCAAAACAAAGAAAAACAAAATAACATTAAAATTGAAACCGTGCAGGATTTAGAAAGTTGTTGATGATAGATCTCCAAATTGGTAACTAATTACATATTACAAGTCTAGACACTGCCTTGTATAGAGAAAGTGCCCTCAAGGGAGCAAATGTTTTTGTTAAAATATGTTATATACAGTAACGAAATGCACAGCTGAAGCTGGAGGTAAAATGTCTACGATATACCGTATGTGCTCACAAATAGAAACAGCGTCCATCCATAATGGTATGACTAGAAATAAAACATCGATATGTCATCATTGACAGAAATAAGTCATTTTAATATTAAAAAATTCAAAGTCGAATCATGGATACGTAAAATATCAAACTGAGAGAGAAACGATAAATACACAAATGTGCAAACATTCCTTATTTGCTTTTTAATTAATCAGAGTGGGTTAATGTATACATACAAATAGCTTCAATGCCTCATGAACAATGGCTGTCAAACTGAAGGTAAATCAAGACATCGCACGGCCACCAAGTTACTATTTTACTTTCTACGAAACAGTTACCGTAAAAGTATATTTTAA